TGAATGGGCAAAAAGACTTTGGTGTATTAATTGAAGACTACTGAAGTATTACAACACAGTGATCGAAAGCCGAAGTGATAGCAATTTCGACTAAGAATGCCATACAAAGAAAATATTTTATTTTGAATGCGACTGTCTTCGGTCAAGTATAGGGAGCATTCATGCGGCCGCATCTGGAATATGCGGTACAGGATTGATTGCCTCGACATCGGAAAGATTTAGGTATTCTTGAAGTTGTTCAACAAAATAATATAAATAATGTCACTAAACTCAACCAATCTACGTACGGTCACCGCCTGACTGCCTTTAATCTCTTTGCACACCATTAAAAACAGGAGGGAGGTTATATTGTGGTAACGCTTCAGTTACTAAGGATGACTGATCTGGGTGTCCAACGGAAAGATTTTTTTTAATTGTACCAAAAAAGAACCTCGGAAACTATTATCAACAGCTTAAAAAGAAACTGTGTCGCACAACTCAACTCTCTTTATCCCTCAAGGAGTCATTCATCACCAGAAGGCTATACCAACGGATTCTGTGTATTCCCACTTTGAGTATGATCACCTGTTAGCAGTCAAATCCAACTTTCAACACTTTATTCAACGGATTACTGAGATAACTATAAACATTCTACTCCCCTGATGTCATTAAATCGTTTTGTTTGCTATGCAATGTATGATAACAAGAGTCAACCTTTGTGGAACCAAGTGATCAACAAAAATATCACTCGGGCTGAGAAACAGAATAGGTGGACGAGTCGAATTGAGGACTGAGTATTTGCGCATTCTGGAGATTTGTCACTTATGCCTGAGAGAAATAGCATCAAACTGCAAAGTAAGAGGTCATCGGTTCGAGATTTTACTACCTGTTGTCTGTTTCTAGTGAACATATTTCCATTTACTCAAGGACGTTCACTGTCTCCGTTCTTGGGAAATCAAGTGAAAAGCCGTTTAACTTCTATACAAAGTCGTACCGACCTATATGGGGAATTGTGGTTGGTGGCGTTGTTTAGTGTTTTATACGGAAATCTCGGTTTCTTAGTTTATAATTAGAAATGGTGAAAAATGCTCAAGGCTATAACATTATCGAACAAGAATATTGCGCTTTTGTCCAGAATAAAAAACGCTTAACTTTTTATTAAAAGTAACTGTGTGAATGAATAGATTTAATTTCGCAGCAAAAACGTCACACAGCATAAGGTGAGGAAAGAGCACCATCGACGCTGATAATTTTTCATATTTTGCGGAGGATAAAATGAACCCATAAATACTTCACTGATTACTGCATCCTTACCGGCATAATATCTGAAAACCAAAGGAATAACAAAAGGACTAGGTAAAGCCGTTATCGGACGAGTGAGTCCCGTAACCGATCGATGGACGCACATTCACCAAATCAAAACTTATTATATTGATTTAAGGTACACAAACTCAATAATTACCTGGCATGTTGGTTTCGCCGCTGTTCAGGTCTTAAGTGCCTAGGAGTGCCTAGGAGGAACGAAGGTCCGGTAGAGACTAGCAATTGCTAACCGCGCCATGTGGTCATAGATGCCGATTAGACCAGCAATTTTCAACCAACATGCCGTCCTGTGTATATTAGAAGAACTTTCTTTTCGTCACATCTCTTTCTAGATATCTCTGCTATTGAAGTACAATTAGTTCCAGAAGAAAGCGAATATGGAGGGAGTTATCTACCAGCCCGCAGGTGAAAGCCCTCGTTCGGGAAGCCCTCTCGATTGATATTCGAGTTACCGTGACAGTGACCATCAATTTCGATGATGCCCACCATATGCCCAAGAACAGGGATGGTGAGCGTAGTCGGATATATTGAAAGTAGACGAGCAAAAATCAAGCACACACTAAACCCTATCCCCGTTTGAACCAGTGACAAGACAAAGTCGAGATAACCGAGCGTGAATCAGGCGTAGGCCTTTTTCTCCAATGCAGGCCAGAAAACGCCGCCTAAATTAATAAATAAATAAATTTTCTATTTTAGGCCCGGAGGGCCTCGTCATTTAGTTTTAGTTGACAGCAGCCATTTGCGCTGGTACTTCTGCATTACTTACCCTCACTCACCTTCAGCAGATGTCCGGAGAGACCCATGGAGACCGAGTCCGATATTGCTACTACTGCTTCTATTTATGCTGCTGCTTACTAACAGTGTAGCTGAGTAGAAGAAGAAGACTCGATCGCTGTAGCTGAGTGATAGTAGTGCTGATACCATTACTGGCGCTATTAATTGGTCAGAAATGACAGTGATTAGCTTCAGCGCTGGGCTCGTGTTCCCTCAACTAGGACTTGGTACCTGGATCTGCGCTATTTCGCGTAAAGTAGATGTTTGATACTCGGAGCACCTCAATGCTTGACATGGTACTTAGCCCCTACCTCTATTCACCAAAATTTTGTGAGTTTTCCCTAAAGTGTAGACTACGAGGTCTAGGATACTGCTGTTAAAAGTAGCATGCCAATGTCAGGAGTGCTAATTCTACTAATCAAACTTGCTGAGGCCGCTAATTAGTATACTACAATGCGGCCTGTACATGCATGTAGGAAATATGAACCTAGTATGCAGTTGTAATCTAGATCGGGATTATAGAAAACCGAAGGGTTAAATAAAAGTGTACGTTATAAGAGCTAAAGATCTACCATGCATTTAGAGCGTAAGAAAGAAGATTTGTCGCTTTTCCAGGCTTTTCCAGTACCTTGCTCTAGCTTAAAATTTACAGAACATAATCTGTTTAAATAGGTACACTACAAGCAAGGTACTAAATGACAACAGTATGGCAATACAGTGCAGCAGGAATAGTGAAATATTAGTAATAGTGGTGATACTAGCGATTTTATTTCGGATAGTCTAGAGGGAACTGGTACCGTATTAAGTCTAACGAACACATAAATATACTAGTACATGGGTGTACTCCGATCTCGCCCAGGATTCACTAACCCTGGT